TGGCTAGATCATTTTTCAAAGCATGGAAGAGGTTTTAAAAGGGAGGTTTCCTTATAGCAGTTCAAGATGCCTTACAGTGTCTGTTTCTTGTTATTTGGAGCACTAGGAGTGCTTTGGGGCATTGTACTGAACACAGTGTAAAATAGGCAACCTAAATATTATCCTGCTTTAGAGCGAAACTGTCCAATCTGGTTGCCATTAGCCACATGTAGCAATTTAAATTCAAGGTAAATAACATTAAATAAAGTTTTAAAATCAGTTCCTCGTCTCGGTAGCCACTTTGCAGCAACCACATAGGAGCACAGGCTACCATGTTAGCACAGCCATGGGCCATTTCCCTAGTGGCCCAGCGCCCACTCTGTTGACCAGAAGGGTCTAGAATGAGGATGACATCATGCTGTCTGCACCCAGACCAGGACTCTGCCCAACTGGTCACGTGACCCGGGGCAGGTTCCTTTCCCTCTCCAAGCCTCAGCCTCTGCATGAATAAGATGAATATAATATTCATCCTCCCCTCTGTTTTCTGGGGAAGATTTAGTGCAATAGTATTGATTAAGGGCTCGCCTGGGACCTAAGTAAACAAACATACTCCCTTTCTCTTTTCTTGCTTAAGAGGAGGAACCCTGTGAGGCCAAAGCCCCTGATATTGCTGGCCCCATCTCCAGCTAGACGGGAGCAGAAGGCAGTATTGTAGGCTACAGAAAAACCCTGGTTTGTCAGCCTGGTCCCTTTTTTTTTTTTTTAATGTGTCATCCCTGGGAAACATGATAGAATTTGTTTTTACTTTTCTTCTGTCAGGAAGTAACCCCTTCTGGCTTTGTTAGAAGCGTGGTTTGTAATAATTGTACCCACCCCAGATGGCTCCTGAAAACCCTTTGAAATACCATCTGTCAGGCGTGTGTCCAGCAGGCCGCCTGTCATTCTGCTACAAGAAAGGAGGAGGCGGGGCCTGCCTGGTCCTTTCCCACCCAGCAGGGCTGAATGGAGCTGGTAAGGCTGGCCCAGGCCCAGCCTGAGGCTCAGAGTACCCTGGAGGAGACCTCCTGCCAGCACACAACTTGCACAGGTTTTGTGTGGGTAATAAGCCCTGCAGGGTTTGTGGAGGTTCACCCCCAGCCTCCTCCCTCCTCTGCCTCTCGGAGGCCTTCAGAAGCATATTTATTTACAGGGGAAACGGGTGTCTCTTTTAAGATGTAGTATTTTTGAAGTTCTTGGTTATTTCAGATCCTTTCAGGAAACAGAGGGGTGACTATTGTCTTTAAAGGACATCTGACCAATTGGGTGTGAAAACTGGTTGAAGACAAATGGCCAGAGATAAGATGGCTACAGAGCAGGCAGGAAAACACTGGTCTGGTCTAGGAAGATGGGCCCAACCCAACCAATCTTTTGTTGGGTTTCATTTTCTCCCCATCTTCTTGGAGTGGGTGGAATAAATGATTGGAATTTTGACACGGAGGCTGTTTGGCAGAGTGGCCATCACGGAACAGATTTAAGACAGATCCCGCCACAGCATGTCACAGAATTTCTCTGCTTATGCTGCTCTGGAATTTCCAAGTAGGATGTAGACTGCTGGTGTTTTACAAGGAGCCGGCTGAACAGCTTTTGCACTTGGCTGCAGGACCTGACACCCTACTGCTACTGCTGCTGCTGCTGCTGCTATCTCCTTTGGGGATCTTCTTCCTGTTCCTAGCTTCAAAAAGTTAGGTCTGTCCTGGCTTGCTGGCACACACCAGTGATCCCTGTGGCCCCGGAGGCTGAGGCAGGAGGATCGGGAGTTCAAAGCCAACCTCAGCAACTTAGTGAGGCCCTAAGCAACTCAGTGAGACCCTGTCTCTAAATAAAATATAAAATGGGCTGGGGCTGGGGCTCAGTGGTTAAGCACCCCTGGGTTCATCCCTGGAAACAATAAATAAATGAACAAATAAATAAAATGCATTCTGTTGTAGATATCTGATTGTGTCTTAGCACCTGCATTTTACCTGTCTAGTCCACACCGGATTGTCTTCTCTGGGTCACTGGGACAGCCACCAAACTGGTCTCCCTGCTTCTCTTCTTACTCACCTCCTACCCTGCATGCTCTATGCAAAGTCAAAGATCTTTTTAAAAAAATAGGTATTGAATTAAGGCATCACCTTGCTCAAAACCCTCTGGTGACTTGCTGTCACCCTTAGAGTGAGATATGAATTCTTTGCTGTGGCCTGATTCATCTGGCTTTCACTTCCAGCCTCTTCCATCTCACTGCTACGAGTGCACCAGTTTTGTTGTTGTTGTTGTTGTTCTTCTGAGATATACATGACAGAAGAAGTTTTTTGGATTTTTGTTTGTTTGTTTGTTTTTACTAAGGATTGAACTCAGTGGAACTTTAAGCACTGAGCCCCATCCCCAACCCTATTTTGTATTTTATTTAGAGACAGGGTCTCACTGAGTTGCTTACAGCCTCACTAAGTGACAGAGGCTGGCTTTGAACTCACGATCCTCCTGCCTCAGCCTCTGAGCTGCTGGGATGACAGGCCTTCGCGACCGTGCCCGTCAGTAGAGTGTATTCTGACGTGTTGTGCATACATAGAGTATGACTTATTCTAATCAGGATCCCATTCTTGGGGTTGTCCATGACGTGGAGTCTCACTGGCAGATGTACCTGTCCCTGTGTCGTTCCCCAACGTGACTCAGCTGTTTCCACATCAAAGGCTTTCGCAGACCCTCAGCCTGGGGGGCTTTCCTTGCAGGAGACAGGCCTTTCCTGCTCACCTATCTCAACTTGCTTCCTGGACCCTCACTTCCCCACCCCCACAAGGCACTCCAGCCCAAATGCCCACGTGGCTCTGAGGTCCCTTCTGACGTAGAAAGCAGAAGCATTAGTGCCACAGAAGCATTAGTGCCTCCTGAAATTGTGTGCTGTCTGTCTGTCTTCCCATACCTATTTATTTTTCTCTCTAATTCAGATATAAGTTTCAGTAAGGTAGGGACTTCGTCTTGTTGACCATTGTTTACCCAGTGCCTCAATTAGGGCTTGGCATTCATGGGGGGGGGGGGTCCTCAGCAAATATTTATTAAATGATTGAAACGTGATGATGGCTATCCACACATCTACATACAGACACGTGGACAACATCAGGTTGTGACAGTGGGATTTTTAAGCTTAAGAGTCAATGAACTCCCTTCATTCCAACAGTAACATAAAGTAAAACTCTCTACTAACAATGATTGAACTCAGCTCTCTCAAAGGATTATTTCACTTAGTACCTGTGGTGCCACTATTGTTAGCCCCGTTTCTCAGCAGAGGATGCCTGGAGGAACAGAAGCTCAGGATCTTGTCCAAAACCATCACCTGGGGAGCCAGACCGTGAACCTGCCCTTCCCACCCAGACCCCCAGGTCTGTTGAAGTCTAGGATACCCTCTTTATGTACCCAGCACCTGCTGTGCGTCTGACACCTGAGATGGAATTTTAAAAGCCATGAATGACCTCTCATCCACCAGGGTGCCAAGGATGGAAATAAGTTAGGACGGAGTATCGGAGTAGACTTCTGGACACTTCCCAAGCAAGCCTCGTACCAGAAAGCCCCCATGTGCTTAATGTGAGAAGCCACCATTGGAAATAGGACCATTCTCTGAATAACTCACAGCTATTTAAGACACTCCGATTTCAGATGTTTTCAAAGTGGGTGCATTGGTGGGGTGGAGTACCAGGGATTGAACCCAGGGGTGCTTACCCACTGAGCCTCATCCCCAGCCCATTTTAATATATATATTTTTTTAGAAGCAGAGTCTTGCTGAGTCTCTTAGGGCCTCGCTAAGTTGCTGAGGCTGGCTTTGAACTCATGATCCTCCTTCCTCAACCTCCTGAGCCACAGGATTTTCACAGGGGTGCACCCCTGCACCTGGCGTGATAATTCTTGAGGTTTTTTACTTCTGGGAATTAGGGATATACAAGGTAGATGTGTGGACGTGGTCATTATGTAGGCAGGAGGTCAAAGATGGATGGTCCCAGGAACATTAGAGCCCTGGGATACATATAGTTAGTTATTTAAACACTTTAAAGGGAAAGAGAGAGAATCCTAGGAATAAGGGGAAATCCCTACTTATTTTCATAGGAAAAACCTATAATCCCCACCATGGATGATGATGTCTTGCAAAAGTGAGTTGCGCTGATTTTCTCCTAATTTAAGAGGTAGGAGAAGAAGTCACTTTTTTTTTTTTCTGTTTGACAGTATTTGACGCCGACTCCTAGTAGACGCTGCATGCATGCTTCTTCGTTTATTTTTGTTCTCCTTGGGGGATGTGTCAACCCCCTCTGCTCCTTGCCCCCCACACTTTGGGTCAAGGCTGGATCCACAGCCCAGCCCTTGTACTAGGTGACTCAAGTACTTCCAGGGTTCTCTATCATTTCCTAAATGGTTGCTTTTTTTTTTTTAGCCGTTGAGAGTGTGGCCAGAATAATTCAGGGAGAGAATTGTTCTCCCACATGCAAAAGTCCCCTTTCTCTAGCCAGACTCATGGGTGGCCTCTTTTCACCCAACGTATTAATTACATGAGGAGCAGCAGCATTTTAATCCCTGGGAGTTGTCCAACCGCAGATCTTGTGCAATCGCATTTCTCTGGTGATGTGTTTATGCAGTGGGTGTCATTTTCTTCAAAGGGCTTATTACACTGGAACTTGCCGGCTGTATTGAGGAGCACAGGGGTTTTGAGGCGCGTGATAAAAATATAAACCCCCGAGGCGCCAAGCTTAAGAGTGGATAATTTTTAGTATTTGCTGGAGTCCTAAGAGCTGCCAATGGTGGCTGCCGTCTGTGCAACCCACACAGATCACCTCCTCCATTCAGTGCATCCTACAAAATGGTAAAGTGAGGATGCTCTTTTTGAAGCCTTGACCTGGTCGATGTCTGGACAGAGAAGTCAGCCAAGTTCTAGGCTCTCGGGCTGCCTGAACAGGTTGGCTCGATTGCACCTGGATGTGGAACTTCCTGTTCTGGTTGACTGATATCTTTTCTGTCTGCAGGCACCACCCGATCTCCCCGGGAAGGAGAAGTGCCTGGCGTGGATTACAGCTTCCTGACTGTGAAGGAGTTCTTGGATCTCGAGCAGAGCGGGACTCTTCTGGAAGTTGGCACCTATGAAGGTGAGACGCTCTGTGGTTGCAGGAGAACCTGTCTCTCCTGGGCACCCTGAGGTGCCAGGGGCTTTGTCCCAAGTCATCCAGGCAAAAATTGTTTTATAGACAGAGGAGTTGTAAACAAATAATAAGTGATTTCGATTCACCCTAATATCATTAATACAAATAGTGTGCTTTTCTCTAAGTTTTCTCTTTTAGTCAGTCGATTAAGCGTGTGTGTTCTGTGTTTTAATAAGGGCATGGCATGGTATTCTAAAGAACAGGAGGAAGAAACAGAGAGATTCACAATATGTAACCTGATAGATGGTGTTTTAGTCTTGAAGGAATGAAATACCATGTTTACCATGAATTAGTTTTGATTTTTTTTTTTTTTTTTTTGGTACCAGGGATTGAACCCAGGGTTGCTCAACCACTGAGCCACATCCCAGCTCTGTTCTGTATTTTATTTAGAGATAGGGTCTCACTGAGTTGCTAAGTCTCACTAAGTTGCTGAGGCTGACTTTGAACTCGTGATCCTCCTGCCTCAGTCTCCCAATCTCCTGGGATTATAGGCGTCTGCCACCGTGCCCAAGTGGTTTTAGTGTTTTAAAATAGAATATACATTCACATAGTTCAAAAAGCAAAGTATTTTAAAAATATTTAGTAAGGAATCTCCTTCAAAGGCCTATCTTTCAACTGTCTAATCTCCAATTCAGTGTTACCAACAGTGTTACTAATAACAGTAGTTTCTGAAGCTTCTTACTATTAATTGAAACATGTATCTGCATGTGTGTATATACACTTGTGTGTGTTTGTGTTTTGGGAGGGAGTTCCAAGGATTGAAACCAGGGGCTCTTAATCACTGAGCCCCATCCCCAGCCCTTTTTTGTATTTTATTTAGAGACAGGGACTCCCTGAGTTGTATGTACCATGCTAAGTTGCTGAGGCTGGCTTTGAACCCATGTTCCTCCTGCCTCAGCCTCCCGAGCTGCTGGGATTACAGGCATGCACCACTGTGCCTGGCTCTGTGTGTGTTCTTATTTCTCCCATTTTGTGCAGAAGGCAGTTGACAAGACCTGCTGTTCAGAACCTTGCTCTTTTGGTTTAGCGCCGTGTCCTGGTAGATGTTTGCAATTCAGCAGTAGGGCACTTCTTGTTATCTTCTTTTTTAAATGGCTGATTTCTTTGTAAGGGCACATCATAGTTTATTTAACTAGCTTCCTCTGGATAACCTTCCGAGGCATGTCTCATTTGCAGTCTTTGTACTGTTGTACTTCCTAATGTGGACAGCTATCATTCCACATGCCAAACCCTATAGGACGAGGGTCTACGGCGGGAGGAAGTGCTAGGGCGGAGCCAACTGTCAGGGAAAAGTTACATTTTCCTTCTCTTTTATTTATTTATTTGGGTTGGATTATGATTTATTTAACTGGATCTTCATAAATGGATACTTTTATAAGTTGATTCTTTTTTTAAAAATAATTTTAATTTACACATAGTAATTGTGGTTGTTTATGGGGCACAGTGTGACATTTTGAAATGTGTCTACAATGTGTAATGGTCAGATCAGGGCAGCTGGCATTTCCGTCACCTCCATTAATCCTCAGTTTATCATTACTTTGCATTGGGAATATTAAAAACCCTCTTTCCTAGTATATTGAAATTTAGAAGTAATTCCTGTCAGCCACACATACCCTTTATAGAATTGAACATTGAAGTTATTCCTGTTATCCAACTGCAGCCCTGTGGAAATAAACCACCCCGTCCACGGGCCCCTCCTCAACACCCTTCTCACCATCTAGGTAATGTAGCCTTTCTATCCATTTCCTTGAGATTATCATTTTTAGCATCCACAGACAGGTGGGAACATGAAGTAGTTGTCTTTCTGGGCCTGACTTATTTTACTTAATGTCCTCTCTGTTCATCCATATTGCCACCAATGACAGGATTTTATTCTTTTGTTATGGCTGAATAATATTCAGTTGTGTAGATGTATAGATACACCTCATTTCCTTTATCTATTCCTCTGTCCGTGGACATACAGGTGGATTCCACATCCTGGCTATTGTAAATAGCAACAAACGTGAGAATGCAGATATATCTTTAACATAGTGATTTGTTTTCCTTTCGATATAGATTCCATGGTGGAATTGCTGAATTATATGGTAGTTCTATCTCTAGTTTTTTAAGGGAACCTCTATACTGCTTTTTTAAAATTATTTTTATAATGGGCCAATTTACATTCAATATACAAGAATCCTCCTTTCTCTTCATCTTTGCTAGTATTTGTTTTAGTCTTTTTTTTTTTTTAATAGCTGCCATTCTAACAAGAGTGAGGCGATATTGTGGTTTTGACTTGCATTTCTGATGATTACTGATGCTAAGAATTCTTTTTTTCTAGCCAGGAGTTGTGGTGGCACATGCCTGTAATCACACCGGCTCTGGAGGTTAGGCAGGAGGATCACGAGTTCAAAACCCGCCTCAGTAATTTAGCAAGGCCCTAAGCAACTCAGTGAGACCCTGTCTCTAAATAAAATATGAAAAAGGGCTGGGGATGGGGCTCAGTGGTTAAGCACCCCTGGGTTCAGTCCCTGATACCTGCCACCCCAAAAAAAGGAATTATTTTTTTTCTTGTTGGTTCTTTGCATATCTTCAAAATGGTACATTTTCTGAAAACAATACCTAGCCTGATTTTTTTGGAGTGTTGTTTTTTAATGACAGAAGTACGATGCTTTTAACTAGATCATGACTTACTAGATCTAGCTTCTAACTAGAATTATTAATTCTGTCATAGTTATATGTCTCTCTTTATAGAGAACTCTTAAAATTTAGATTTATCAGATAATCATAAGGGCGTTTAAAATTATACTTAAAAACAAAGGGTAAATAGAAAGCCAAATTATTATTTTATTGGAAACATTATAGCTTTGATGTGCTAAAAGCCTCTATTATAGGTGGTAACTGAAAATCCAGTAATGCTCATGCATCTTAGGGACGCAGTTTCTGCCTGATATTTTTTGAAGGGAAAAGGAGGATTCCTTTGTAACTGTTGCTCATTTCTAGTTGTAGATATACTTTGAATGGTGTTTAGGTGTAAATCAAAATGCTAATTATCAACCTGGGAATATTATATTGCAATATTATATTGCTCATTATCCACTTGCTTACTTCCCTAGAAGTGCATGTGACTATGTAGCTGGTAGCCTGGGTGGAGATCTGCAAATGATTAAGGCCCATGTGTCCTGTGAGGACACGGGGGTAGCTAAGGGGACATACAGGGAGCTATTTGTCCATGGGAAACTAGTTAAAAATTCGGTGACCACAGGACAGCAGGTGTGAATCCTTTTTGGTTAGCACAGTGAATCATCCTTATCTGCAATCATTGATTATGCCATTGTGAGAAGCCCCAGTCCCAGATATGCAAAGTGGTCATTTGCATTTTTGGAGAGGACAACGGAAGTGTATGGGTGGGAAAGGGGGAGGGCTTGAGATGTGGACAACAGTTTCATTTGGCAAAAGAATAGACTCCCTTTATTCAGAAGTTCCTGTGACATTGTATATTGGTGGAGTAGGTTCTTTTTCTCATGGAGTGTCACCCTTGCGACAGGGAATTGTCATCACTGAAGTTTTGCATGGAGTCTGAGGCCAGTTTTATTAAATCACTTTTGCAGGGTTGTACAGCAGACCAGCACACCAGATCAGGAACCATGCTGAGTTCAACTTGTCTCTCACATCCTAAACTTTTTCCTGGAAAATCCCAAGAAGAATAGTCTGAGTTTAACAAAAAACCCATTAGTACTTCCGCCTGACTTCCTGGTGGGTAGCCATGGGGAAGTAAATATTTTTTTCAGAAAATCTCTGATGGACTTAAATAAAAGACCGCATTTCTGTGAATGCTGGTTGGTGATTCTGGAGTTGAAATTGAACCTCAGATTAATCCATCCCACTTTTGTCCATTTGAATATACTGGGTTCTCTGACCTTTTTACCATAGAAGATGGCTCATAATTTCTTGGAACACACTAATATCTGTTATATTGACTCTATTTAAAAATCTTATTATAGAGACAGTACTCGCAGAGTTCCTTAGGGCCTCTCTAAGTTGCTGAGGCCAACTTTGAACTTCTGCTCCTCCTGCCTCAGTATCCCCTGAGACTCTGGGATTACAGGTGTGCACCACCACCCCCAACTGTTATATTGACTTTTTTAAAAAAATATTTTTATTAGTTGTTGACGGACCTTTATTTTATTTATTTATATGCAGTGCTGAGATTCAAACCCAGTGCCTCACACATGCTAGGCAAGTGCTCTGCCACTGAACCCCAACCCCAACCCTGTGTTGACTCTTAATAGTGGACAGCAAAGTGGAAGTTTGTGTGAAACTCTAGTGACTGTCCCAGGCATAGTTTTGGAGAAATCTTCTCAGAGCTTCTTCTGTCTTGGCCTCCCCTGGACCAGTCCCTGGACAGCAGCTAACGTGGCAGGCTCCATGGTCTCACTACCTGAATTTGATCGTCAGGGTCAGCACCTTTGCCTTTGAGCTGTGTGCCCTCCAGCCAGCAGCTTAAAACTCCCTGTCTCCTTTTTCCCTCCAGTGAAATAAGGACAATCATCCTGCTCTCTCACAGGTAGGACTAAATGAGACAGTAATTGGAAAGGGCTTATCCCAGTGTCTGACACACATAAGCTCTCAATCAGCATTAGCCCTGATATTTACTCGACTGCTCCGAAATTCCTACTGCAGCTGATTCCCGCCCCCTGTTCCAGTCGGTCAACCCGCGGATTTGCCAGTAAAACATCTTTATTGAATTCCCAGATACCAACCATCTTTTTTACTGGCTTGATTTTTTTTTTTCTTTCAGTCTCTACAAATGCCACAGAGGAAAAGTCTGATACCATGACACTCTTTCAAGCAAGACACTTTGAAATTTTTAAGTAATAAGAGTTCTTGGTAGCTGTGGTTCTGATAAGTGTTACTGACTTAGTCCCTGATGCTATTGGGAGATGGTCGAACCCCTGAGAGGTGGG